GTCGGCTTCCTCCGGCGCCATCGGGGCGGCCTCCATGGTCACCGGCGACATTTCGTCTTTGCCGTACCTGCTGAACACCCGCTGCTTCAAGCTTTCTTTGAGCGCGGCTTTGTCTGCCCATGCCTCACACATGGGATGTCCGCTGTCGATCAGGTGCTCCAACAACCTCACGACGATCCACGGGCGCAGCTTTGCACCAGCCACCCACTCCACGATCTCGGCGTGCCGCATGCCCTTGATTGTCAACTTCATCATGGTGTTGAGCACCGGGACTGCGTGCGGCAGCTGATGCAGCACAGCCTCCGCCCCCAAGCGGTGGAGACTGCCGTAGATCTCCTCCCAAGGCATGCTGAAGGAGCTAACATTGCCTCGCACGGCCACGCGGAAGTCGCTGCGATGCAGCTCCTCCTCCATCAGGTGCCCGCGATCTTCCTCTATATAGAAACTCACCACGGACGTCCACACGGGACCTGCTGCCGCGGCCTCAATCCACCGCACCTTTTCTTGATATAAGAAATTCAGAGGATACCCGTACCAGTTGTCATTGGCAAGAGCTTGCGGGACTTGCGGGCACGTGCTCTGCCGCAAGCGGCTCCAGCATGTCCGGCACAGTGGCAGCTTGCACTCAGCGCACAGTTGCTCTTGCGTGGCTGGACACGCGGCACACACGCGGTCTTCTGGGCAGCACAGAATTCGCTGCCCCTCAAACAGATCGGGCGGCAGCGACAGCTGCCAATCCTGCTCCGGAAGCCGATCTCTCACGGCCGCGTGCTCGCCGTACTTGCGAATGTACTCTGTCAAGCTCCAGTTCGCGGCAAAGCTCTCGGCTGACACGGTTGTGAACAGCTCGCGCACTGACACGTATCCTACGTTGCCATTAGGACCTCCAGGCTGCACTCCCGCGCAACAGGCGCACACCAAGGCCACGCAGTGCTCCTCGCGCCTCTCCTGTCGGAGACGGCGTAGCGTGCGCCGATCCACGCTCCAGCCCACTGCAGGCACGGATGCCTCCTCTCGGCAAACGAGGGCTCGCATGTACCGGCTCTTGGCCTGCCACCACTCCTGCCCTGCCTGGCCGGCACACAGGCTGTCCCAGTGGCACGCGGCCAAGTGAGCCCAGAGACACGTGTTCGCCTTGCCGCAGCAGGCGCCACTCAGGCGAGTCCAGTGTAAGTCTGGCACCACCCACGCTCCAGCGTGCCCCGAGGCCTCTTGACACGGCTGCATCTCGCTGCACCAAGCGCAGCCTGCAAACGCGCAATGCACGGCGGGGTAGACTATTCCTGAGGCAGGCGCGCACATGCTGGCACTCCAGGCCGGGAGCGGCGGCGGCAGCAGCGGCGTCGGCCGCAGCAGGGATGCCACTTGCTCGGCAAGGTGGACGTCTGTGTCTTCCAGGGTGGTCCACGTCTTGCTGGCTTCCACCGCCACCGGGCCGAGCTCTTCAGCTTCGTCGCTGGCATCCTGCGAGTCCCACGACTGCACACTATCGGTTTCCATCTCTATTTTGTCAGAGTTTTTGTCTGACAAGGGCACGTCACTGTTGGTTTCTGGCTCGGACCAGACGTCCGCCTCCGCTTCAGGAATTGGAGCATGGATGCGCTCGGGCTGCCTTGGCACACTATCGGTTTCCATGTCTATTTTGTCAGAGTTTTTGTCTGACAAGACCACGTCACACTTGGTTTCTGGCTCGGACCAGACGTCCGCCTCCACTTCAGGAATTGGAGCATGGATGCGCTCGGGCCGCCTTGGCATGCCTAGCACTTCCCACATGGCTTCACTGCCGCCTTCGGCCCACCGCCTCACCCAAGGTGTCCGCGCAAACGGCTGCGGAGACACGGCATCGGTCCCGAGCAGATCATAGTGCCCCACGTTGCCGATCTCTCGGTGCAGCAGCTGCAGCACGGTCGGGAGCCGAGCCACTGCCGTCCGGCATTCTTCGTCCGTGACACGAGTCTGAGTTCGTGCCCAGTAGTTCGCGTCAGGGACGCCGCTCCATACTATAGCATCGAAGTCGAACTGCTGGGTGAGCGCCCACAATTCTGCGCTGGTCCCATGATGGAAGGAGTCCAGACCGTTAGGCTGCTCCACCACAGCCAGCACCTTACTCCACAGCACCAGCTTGGCGTCTGGAACCTGTGCCTCCACGCCACCGCGCCGTCGAACGAAGTCTCGGTGTCGCTCCAACTCCGCCTCCGTTTCTGGCACGCAAGCTGCTTCAGTTGCTGCGGCATCTGGTCCAGCCAGCGCCGCCCACAGCCACTCTAGCGCCTGCAAGTAGATCTCCGCTGCAGCACGCAGACACCAGCGCGGCCTAGCACCTGCTCCAGGCCTGGCCCCGTACCTTGCCACCGCATGGAAGAGGCACCAGCCATCTCCAGGAACTGCCACGACTACACCCCCGGCTCTGTGCCCAGCCCCACTTGCCATGCGCTGCTAAATCACTTACCAGCGCCCCATGGGCAACTGTCACCAGCCTGCAGCTCCTTGTCCGCCCCGCGGGCAACTTTCCCCTTCTTCCAGCGCTAGACCGTGCGTGATGCTTGACTCCTGTAGCTGAAGCCTGTTGGCGTGTTTCGGGCGCGGCCCCAGCTGTCTAACAGTTTGGACAAGTCTGAGCTGCGAGCTGCAACTGCTGCGAGAGAAGCACCGCAAGTTGGCCCTGCCTTTGTGAGTAATCATGCGCAACATGTGACATTCCCAAGGTGTTTTCATATTCTTTTTTTCGTGTCTTACAGTGAAAGAGTCGCGCCACGTTCAGGTGAAACCAGACTATTGAAACAACCCTCAACGACAGGTTTGTTTGCGGCGCTTTGCTTGGCTGAAACGGTTCGAGGGTTGGCTTGCCCGCAGAGCTGGTTTCCAAAAACCTGGCGCCAAGCCAAGGGCTTGTTACTGAAGTGGACCTTGCTTCCTACTGTTGCTTTTTTTGTCCCTTGTAAATAGCCTGCAAGGCTTTGCGACAAAAAAAAAAGTTCCATCGCAGCTAGTGCGACGAATCTGTTGTGTGATTGCTGCTAGTCCGACGTGGCTGTTGCGTGACACATGTTGCTGCTTGAGCGACTAACGTTTTCAGAAGCTGCTGTGTGACACATGTTGCTGCTGATGCGACGAATGTTTTTGAAAGCTGCTGCGCGAGAAATGTTGCTGCTTCTGCGGCGAACGTCATCAAGAGCTGCCGCGTGAAACATGTTGCTGCAAGCACGATGAACATTATTGGTGGCTGCTATGTGAAACATGCTGCTGCTTGTGCAACGAACATTTTCAGGCGCTCCCTTGGCTTCACTCGGCCTCCCTTAAAACTGCCAAACTGCGCTTGCAAAATGCCTTGCGACGCTGTGCAGCGCGCGGTCAACTGATGCGGGGTGATCAATCTGCTTGTGCTGTCTGGCGTCCCTTAGCTTCACTCGGCTTCCCTTACAACTGCCAAACTGCTCTTGCAACATGCATGGCGACACTGCTGGCAGCTTGTGGAAGCGGGTGGAACAGTGTTGGAGAATGGATGCATAATAATGTATGGAAGGGATGGAACTGGTGGAAAATGGATGGATGATTGATGGCAACTAAAAAAACAAAGTACACTAAAGGAGAAAGCAGATGGGATGGCTCGGACATGGATGGGAACCTGGACGGGGCTCAAGTAACAGGAAAGGCAAGGACGTGCAGGGACTGGAAGTGCAGGAGCGGGCCTGACGGGCTGGCCCCCGCCCTCCTTCCACTTCTTTTTCGACTTGGAAGCACCCTGCGGGCAACTTTCCGGTAGATGACGAGTAGCGACTGAAGGGCAGTGAAACAGATGACACTTCAAATGCAGGAAAATGAAGTGACAGGGCGGGAAACATCCAACGGAAGCAACTGCGGCCTTTTCTGACACCATGCGCATTCCCTGGCTGGCGCGACCATCGCCTTTTCTCCATGGCTGAAGCGGTCTATGACTGAGAAGCGCCCTGTGGGCAACTTGCCGCCTCCTCCCTTTCGAGCGCGTTTGCAATCGCGACTCCTGCTTCTTCTCCATGGCTGCAGAGGCACATGACTGAGAAGCGCCCTGGGGGCAACTTCCGCCCTGTTTCCGTTCTAGCGCGTGCATGCTGCTTCAACCTGCGCATGTGGGTTTAGCGTGTTGGCGCGCTTCTGTGGTTTTAGCTGTCGAGCAGTTTGCACAAGGCTTCGCGCTGGGGTGCTTACAGGGGGGAGAAATGCGACTGACACGGCGCTCAAGGAAGTGCAGGGAGCTCAAACGCACAGGAAGCAAAGGGAAATGCCAGGAAACTCTCAAAGTTGCAGGAAAGACGCGCAAAGGAAGTGCGGTTCAAATCTCGGCATCTCATCCGAATTACAGGACAGGGAAGTGACAGAACAGGCAGGGCCAGGTGCCCGGTGGCCGGCTGTGTCGCGTCAGCGTGTAAATAAAGCCGCGCAGTCCCCAAAAGGCGACCCACTCCCCATCCATCAACTTGTAAAGTGACGCTATTCGAGCAGCCCCAGACAAGAACGATTTTGACTTGAGAGCGCTACAAAAACGATCGGATCTCGGGCGAAGGAAATGCGCAACGCGCCTCAACGAAAGAGCGTTGGCAATCTTTGCGGAGAGTGCGAGTTGAGCGAGCGAGAGCAAAGGTTAAGCCGGCTAGACTGGTTGGTCTAGTTGAACCGGTTGAGCGGTTGACTGAGTTGAAACCACTTAGGCCAAGTAAGTCTGCACCAGGTGAACCAGTTGAACCAGTTGGAACAGCTGAGCCGGGCGAACCAGTTGAGGCGGTTGAATTTAGCTGGTCTAGTAAAACTTTGAGACAATGAAGCCGGCTGAAACCAGTTGGACCGAGCAAAACAGATTGATAATAAGCAGTGGTAACTTTGCGATCCTCGATGAATAATTATCTTGGCCACTCTCGCATGAAGTCTGCGAGCTTTTACAATGTGCGATGAAGTCCAGGTGCATGGGATCAAGTTGAGGATCAATCTTGTAAATCAGCAACCAAAGGCAGTACATCGTAAGCTTACCCGTGCCTCGCATCAATCCTCAAGTGATGTGTGTGAGACGAAAAAACACAATGATGCCGAAGAAGCTCAGTGCTGATGCAGCGTTGTCGGGTGAGAATGTGGGCAACATGTAACATCAGGATCGGCCAAGCCAGTAAAGCTTCAGGACTGGCTGGTTGCCGACCCCATGAGAGCCCTTGAACAGGTTGAGTTAACAACCGCCTCACTAGTACAGGCCATGTCTTTGACATGGCCAGGATTCCATTCAAGGCTTGAGCCCCAACACAACTGGTGGGAAAAAACGGCGTGCGCCTGGCCGTCTCCACAACCTGATGGACAGCTGGATCTGTGAAGTTTACCTGCAGTCAACGTGGCACACGTTCAGCAATGCGACTTTGGTGTTTCACCAATGCGGACAGTGACCTTATAATAGTCGTTCTTGAGCCTAAAGGCCAAACATGCTAGATGCGATGCCACGAAATGTTGGGCATTGACCCAGAACTAGTCTCCGTGATTTGGCTCGTTGCTAGCCTAGGGGCACTTCATCAAATCCGCGGACAGCTGCTCCTGTTCCCAATTTGGATGGTGTCCTTACCAGCGGCGACGATGGAGTCTTGTTGCCTTGGACACGCAGCTGCCAAAAGATTCGCCATTTAATCACTGCAATTTGAACCGCTTTCGAATCCTGCGAAAGGAATTCGGAATGCCTGTGCGCAGCCCAGGCATTGTGCTTTGGTGAGGGCCCTGCCAAACATCAGCCCAAGGAAAACTACTGGGAATCCTCACGTTGAAAAACCGATGCAGCCAACACATGATTGAAGCTGACTAAAGGCCGCCCGTGTGGTTTCGCTGTCCATGATTGCATGGAGCCACCAAAAATCCGCCCAAGTGCCGGCCATGAAGGAGCACATCTGTTCCAGGACGGTGTGCAAGTGCGAGAACTCATCTGCAGTGAACTTCCTCAGCGTCACTATGTCCTCGCTGCATAGATGCAGACTGGCACATGGACAACGCTGGGGCCTTAGAGACTGCTTGAGATTCAGTGGCTTCACATGTGAGCCTAACACTGCAGAATGTTCTTCCAGTTGGTTGTAGGTGTCAACAACCCCGTAGTAGTTTGCTGCGTGATTTCCATGGATAATTACAAAGTTTAAGCTACCAAGTGCGGGCACATTGCCTAGCTTGCTCATGAAAAATACCTTGAGCAAGATTGCTATGCCCTTGTGACGCTGTAGGCCCAAACCTGCAGTGAAAGAGGCTCGTTTGACTGCGATCCCGTTTCGCGAGCCGTCCTTGACTGTGGTCTGGTTGGAGCCCCGGAGCATGAGAATCCCCTCCAGCAGCTCGGCGAAGGTCAGAGGCTGGCCATCTTCAAACAAGAGTTTGCCATACCTGAAGCGCTTCTGTGTCAAGGCTTGTGGCTTCCTTGGGCAAGGTTAATCAGCAGCCCACTCTGGACTTGCTGCTAATTGGGGATGCGGCATGTTCCGCGCATGTAATGTTGAACAAATGTGGGCGCACAGATTTAAGCGTTCTGTGCTTGTGATAAAATGATAAAACATTGCTGGCCAGGCTCATGGCTTGAACAATCGCACAGCAAAACTTGCATTTCAGGTTCTGTTTGCTGCCCCTCAACCCACTGCGTTTCACTGACATGGTCTGCCGGGTCGCTCCAAGGCCGCATAAAGCTCCACACCAAGGCGGTTCAAGGCGATCAATGCCTCGGGCATCTCCATCAGTCGTTCGAACTCTTGCTCCGAGATGAGGTTGTCGCCATTCTGCCGATAGCATTTGCTAGGGGGTCAGCTTCAAAGCCGTAACTTCTAGGTATCCATATCTGGGGGTGCTGCCTTGACACCGAGTTGGAACGGATAAATGGTTCAGAAGGTTGGAAGATTTACGCCATCAACCAGTACGCTGCAACAAGACAAAAGCTTCCGCTCAAAGGCAGCATCTCTCTTTAGAGCCTGATGGCCATGCATGCCCGCGCAGCTGTCCCACGGCATCTCAGGGAAACATCTCAGGGGGCTATCCCTGGATAAACTTACCAAGCCGTTTCTTATGCCTTCGTGATGGTATGGAGGTCGCATAACTCCCCCGGATTCCAAACTCCACAGCAGGTTGATGCCTCGTCCGCGCCACTCTTGTCGATCATATCCCACAGGACCCGTTTGGCGAAGTCAATGTGGATCTGCTCGTGTTCGCAGGTGGCCACTGTCTGCACCGCCTCCACCAGCACTCCCACCAACATGTTCATAATGATCAGGGACCCCACCTGGGAACAAAAAAGGATACACCGGAAAGGCATCAACACATAGCCAAACCTGCCATTCCCGTTGGGGACAACTATTGTCACTCACCTTTTTGCATCCCACAGGGCATGCTTTGTGGGCAGTGTGAAAAAGGGTCTCCCTCCCCCAAAACAAGTTGAACAAAACAAAGTCGAACAACAAGTTGAAAAACACTCGACCAAACCAGGTTTCCCTCTAACTTTATTTTCTTGAAAGGACACCCACGCCCTACGGATGAACAAACACCCGCTAGAGGTCCGGGATCATCCTCGATTTCGGCATGGTACCATGATGAAGACCAGCACCATGGACCCCATGACCCAACTCTCCGCCGCAATCTCGCCTAAGCCAAGCCCGTGGCCCGCGGCCTTCAAAACTCCAAGCCGCCTGTAGGTTCTATTTTTTCAAGCAGTTTGACAAATTTCATAAGCCATGCACACCGGTCCCGGTTGACCTCACTATAAAGAAACAAACATCAAGCAGCCGGCAAAGTTCAGGCGTGGCTTTTAGGCAGAGTGTCGGAAAAAACCTTCCTGGTCCGGCATCACACATTGGATGATCAGTGTGAGCACAGAGATGGGCACCGTGGGAAAATGAAGGTCCGCAAGCAGTGTTCCCTGACTGAGCTGTGTGAAGGTGATGCTGAAGATATACGTCACCAACAGGAGCAAAACCAGGGTAAAGAAGACCTCAGCAAGTGGCACATGACAAAGCATTGCAGGCAGCGCAGCAGGACGAACTATGAAGCAACAACCGCCCAAACGAGCCAACCCCTTAGTCCTTAAAAGGCGCAGAGCGGGCGGCAACCAGCAATCCCTTGATGAGGATCATCAGCTCGGGCATGTACCGGGCAACTCGGATGATCCGCGCCGTGCGCAGGACCCGAAGAACCTTTAAGACGCGGAGCACAGAAGCGCTTCGCCCAAAGCCGGTGCCGCTCCCCGCAATACCTCTCTCAGGTTGGCAGCTGTTTATGTGCTCTGTAGGCTGCTTAGCACAACCTTCCTTGACCTCCTATGGGCCGAACCAGGGCTATCACCTCTTGGGCCTTCAGTAAGGGGGCTATCCTTGAATTATCCTAGGCCTTTCCGTGGACGTCAGGTCTGCGCTACACCTGTTAAGCCGTGTTCCACTCCGCCCTGCCACTGCGTTTGGCATGACCCTAACAACCTTGCCTTCGATCACAATGTCGATCAAGGGCATCAGCCAAGTCTCAGTCACCATGATGAATACGAGCATCAGGTCAAATGCGAACCAGGCATCCTTGAGAGCGAGCCGGGTGCTTAGGTAAGCAAAATATCTGGTAGAAAGCTCCGTGATGAAATAGAGCCCGAAAAGGATCTCCATAAGAATAAAGCCAAAGTCTGCGTCCACAATGATCAGCGCGTTGTTGAAGTCAATGTCTATAGCGATCCACAAGGCATTCAGAAAGATCATGGTCAAACCAACGCGCTCAAAGTAGGGATGCTTCACAATTCTTGTCCACCTGCTGTCCTGCAGGGTTTGGACATCAAAGCTGGATCACCTCCCTTTGCAAGTTGGCCAACTTGCAACAAGCAGGCTTACCACTGCTCCAGTGTCGACACTCACCGGAGTCTGTGGAAAACGCGGCCTTTGTGACGGAGGCTGAATGTGCGCAGCTCTTCTTGAGTAACAAGTTGCGAGCCTCCAAACATCTGCAAAAGGAGGGGAATTCCGCTGGCACATGCGTTCGATTCTACTTCGAGCCATGTTGAACATAGCAAATCAAAGAAGGTCTTCCAACTCACGGCGTAACCTGCCAAACTATCACCCAATTGGACCCCTCCAAATAGGGATCGATTCATGTCTGTTTAGTGCTTACTTCCAAGGAGCCCCTCCTGATACGTATCATTCGTTTTGTGCTTGAACTCTCTTAAACACATGGCCCTCATAAGGAACGCCCACGCAGAAGTGCAAAAGCAGCTAGCTCAGGTAGCTAGGGCGGGGCAAAGGTTGTGAACACCGCCAGAGCATGGACCGGGAAGCCAAAAACGTTCAGCAACGGAACGCAAGACGTAAGCCCGAGTGTCCCTCTTGTAAACATCCACCACTGCAGGCCCGAAGTCGTCCAGCGCGGTTTTCCTGAGGCGGTTTGTGGCATACTCCTGGTTCAGCTGCGAGAAGGCCCGCGGGTTGTCGTCCGTCTCCTACACGAATCGATCGACAGCTGCCGAGAATGAGGCCGAGCTGACGAAATATCCATGTAATTGTTTCAGTGTTGGATGTGAAGCAATCGAGAACGCCACAGATTCAAATTTCTGAAGTGCTGGGTAGTGAAATGTTGACAGATTATGTGAGTCCCAGCGCCCCGTCCCAAGATTCCATTGGACACCTGGTCTCCAAACATGGGCTGCTCCTCTTCCAGCATCCTGGAGGCTTGCCTGGGTGAGGCAAACTCGTTTTTGAGCCAGGCAAACTTCCAATTTTGAGCGTTTATATTAGAGGGGGGTGAGCCAATGTCAGGGGCAAGGACCTAAATAACAGTACGCGTGGCTCCCTTGAATCTCTGAATGGCAAGAAATGCTGATTTTGAGGGGGCTGAGGAACCTGCTGAACCCGCTGGGTTTACACGTCCTATGGCACGCTGCAAGAATATCTTTGCATTTATCTCTCAATTAGGATGTGGACAAAAAAACCTGATCGATTGCGGGAAGAAGGGCCATGACTTGTCAAACGCAGCACAAAAACAACCACAAACTTCTTTTGGCCTTTAGCGTCTAATTACCGTGTGCATCTGTTGCCGTAGCAATGAGAATGTGCCGTAGCCATTCAATTCAATGCTACTAGACTCTGTGCTTCGCAAGTCTGGGAACATTGAAGACGTTCAGAGCTGGTGCCATGGAAGATGCAGAATACGTCCTAGAGAAGGGCTTGGATGGTGTATCGGCCGGTTCTGGAGGAGTCTTGTCTTTGCAAGATCTTGACTCATCCTTCTTGGAATCTTCCTTCTTGGTGGCATTCCGAGTACGTCGGTGTTAATCTTGTGTGGAAGACTCAAGCTTTCTTGTCATCTTTCCAGTCGCACCGCTCTCTTTGTCTGGCCTGCCATACAGTGGATGTAAACTTGCATCCCCAGATTGGAATACTGGTGGCCGTCTGGCATGAGCGCAGATTTCTGGAATCTTCAGCAGCAAAATGTTGGTCCATTGGTGCGTAGGGACGATCTTCTTGCCATTCTTCCGTTCTTCCCAAGTTCCGTCGTATCTGGGAAACACAAATGCGACTTCAACCCTGGATTTGCCGTACTTCGTTTCTAGCCCCGGCTTTTTACTAGCCCTGGCTCAGCGCAAGACCGTTTCCATGCGCCCCTAAAGTTGGTCGGGAACCCTTGCTTGACAATCAGGTTGGGGGGCAACAGGCGGTATTCTCTGGCAGGCTGGCTCATCATCACCGGCCTCGCTGCCCTGACTTGGTGGCAGTTCCGAGTGGCTCGGTTGCTTCAGGGATGTGGTTGTGCCAGTTTTGAGACTAGCGCACAATCCCAAACCAGCCCAACACTTGCAGAACCACGTGCCTTGATCTCACGCCCTTGATGAGCCCCGTGCTAAACCTGTTGAGTTTGATAGCCGCCCACCCTTGGCCTTAGAGGATGGGTCTCAAGGAACTGCTGGCCGCCAAGAAGAAGATGGGAGAGCAGCACCTACGCCTTGCTCGAGATAAAGCCAATTGAGCCAGTCGACCTGTGCCAGGTGAAGATGGAGGTGGGCGCCAAGATGAAAGGCAAGACTACATCCGCTGGATGATGGAGGTGGAGGCCAAGAGCGGTGGAGGCGGCGCGTTAAGCAAATCCACCAACACTCCAGCAAGCGAGTGCCAATGTTGCAAGACCACCTTTGGCTAGCGAATTGATGGAGGACTCTGTTGTGAGAATCATTTTGGCCGCTCTGCCGGGCGGGCATCGTAGCTGACAACATTCTTGCTATCTGGGGCCTATGCTGGTATACTTATTTATCTGGGCTGGGTTTGGATACGACAGAAAAGGCAAAGGCATGATAGATTGCGTGAAGGTCACTGACCTGCCAAACACAGAACAAAGGGCATTCTATGAGTTGAGCGGCTTGTGGATCCAGGGCATTTTCTTCCGGCGCATCTGCTGAACGGATGGGATCGTGTCGAAGGTCTCGAGGACATCCGCTTCATCCGCCACCTCAGCTGAGAATGCAAGAGCATTTTGGTCACCGAGGCCCAGTGAGTGCGGGTGCTGAAGTGTTTACCTAAAACAAAAACAACAGGGCCGATAGGAGTCCCTTTTGTGGTGACCGCAAAGTTATCTTGCCCGCTGGAAGCGTGGCAATTGTCATTGACTTTGGAACATCAAGTATCGGTGGGAGGGTCAGGCTGCGCCAATGCGGGGTGAGAGCTAAGCAACTTCTCCTCTTGTGGTCAGGTAAGGCTATGGCACACCACCCACTGAATGGTCAACCAAGCCCTGTGACCGCAGAAGCCCAAGAGGCAATTTTATGCCTTGCCAAGCTGCCGTGTCCTGTTGGTTCTCTTCATGTTCATGGTCATCATCTGGTGCGCCTGGAAGGCTCACCTCGGGCAATATGCCGCAGCCGGCTGGGACTCCCTGACATGCCAGGACAAAGTTGACGATGAACTGGTTTTGCAAAGGGCTGTCTACTTTTGACATTCCACTCAGTGGCATGGGCATTGAAAACTGTGGAGATCTCAACCACAACACTGCACCTTCTCCATCGCCTTTCTCAAAACCAGCTCTGGAACAGGTTTCAATTGATTTCCCCCGAGCAAAACATCAACCAGACTCCCAATTCTTCGAAACATATCCGGCCTGCTTGCCATCGCCCCAAGCTGCGTGCGCAGTGGTCACTGGGGACAGCAGGGCGGGAGACTTGTGGATGGTAGGAGGCGCCGGGGACGGTGACAGGTTCTTCACTTTCCTCACGAACAAATGCAGCGGCTGCGCTCACCGTCACCCACCTACTGCGCACTTCAGATAGGAACCAGGAAGCCGTGTGGTCGGGAGACTTACTCCTCACTTTGCACACTTCGGAGAAGAACCAGGATGCCCATGCTTATCAAATGCCATGGGAATCCTAGCTTGGATCTATCCTTGATCCACCTGGAGGGGTTTATTCATCCAAACAGGGGCGGTTGATCTACGCGGACATCCGCGTATTCCGGGGCATATCATCACCACTTCCCTGTGTCAAAATCTATCCGAAATTCGAAGGGGACCGGAGTGCCTTTAAACCCTACTGGACTTCTAAGTTCAGGAGGCCTGCGGCCGTTGGCTGTGCCACTTATGCTTTTGCGCACGGATGCGGACAGGGCCCAGCCGCAAGTCCCAGGAAAAAATCCACAGGTTGAGTGCTTGCAGAAGCACCAGCTGGATTCGCGTCCCGTTGCGAGCGAGCACAAGCAAACTCTGTGACATCCCTCAGGGGCGCTCCCTGCAAAGGGGTCACTTCAAATACATTGTTTTCCCTGGGGTCGTCTTCAAGTCAAGTGTCTACATTCCCGTTCACGTCACCCCAAAACAGGCCACGTCAACAAGAGACAGACCATGTCACCACAAGCACTGGCGCGGGCATTTGAGAAAAGCGGCTCGAGTTCTGCATCCAAGCTCTTCAGAAGCTGATGTTGCCTCAGCTCCAGGTTGGTCGCGAGACACTTACTGCTCTGCGTGTCCTCTTACTTACATGGCCCTAACGACTGGTCCCTTAGGCACAGCGTCTTCCCAAACACTCCTGCAGGTTCGGCAATGGTAATGCTGATTTATGACCACGTGAGCCAGCTACAAGGCACACTCCCGCACAAATAGCCAAATGGGACGTCTTGTTGAGGAACTGAACATGGCACTAGCAATTCTTTAGTCCCCCCTCCCCAGTTTTTGACACATACCCTTTCAGCATGTTCAAGCTGCAAGAAGCCCATGTCTAACAGTCACCACTTTGATGACTTGGAAAAGCCAACTGAGTCCAAACCAAATGGAGTCGACACTGTCCCCTCCAAACATCAGGAAAATTATGTACACACTTATAGAACAGGTTAAACAACCGGGAAGGGTCACAAATGAACCCTGTACACAGCGCGCTTTTTCCTTGAGCCATACGCAGTCGTAATGATGAGACTGCGCAAGTGAGACATTCATGCATTGGGGTTTTACATGGTTGATAAATACATCACGTTGCAAACTACACCCCCCGTGCCCGAATGTGAAACAGGAGGACAAATGAAAGGGATGAAACAACCAAAGAAACCCGATCGGCATGAAGTCCTTTTGCAGTACACAAGCACTTGGATACGAGCAATCGGCAGTTAAGGTCTTCCGCCTCCACTGACCGTCGCTCTCGCGAGGCGTGCTCATGCACTGTACATTGATCCTCGGCCAACATGATTGAGAAGTATAATGAATATTGAATTTGAAATGTAAATGGATGTCAGCCGAAGATTGAAAAGATTGTTGAAGAGATCGCTCATTCATCGCCAATCCCAATTGCGGGAGCTCTTCCACGGGCGCTGATCATCAGACCACCACGAGTCCCAGGATTGGCCCCAGCTTCCCCAGTACGACTGGCTCCATTGACGATGGCCACCGGTCTCCCGGAGCTGCGGAATGGGCTTGCGCGTCACACCGACAACTGCAGGGAGCGGGGTGGCTCGTCCAGGGATCTCGATGCTGGGGATCTCCTCTTCGACGAAGCAGAGCAACTCAACCAATACCATTTCGGGGTCTCCCACAGACGAGAAATCCCGGGTCCAGCCCATCACGGGGTAGCGGTTGCTCTTGTCAAGGCTTCCATACAATGCAGCAAATTGTTCTGGTTCCAGAAATCTGCCACCATGCACCACATACACGTCCTTCGGATCAACCTCCTGCACGTCCTCCGTTGGCGGCACCAGCGTTAGCCGTGCGTGATATTTCGGCACAGCAACGCTTCCTTGGATCATTTCCTTGGTTCTCCCGAAACTCGGAATAATGCTTCGTGCCACCTTCTCGATAAACTCGAGGGCGGACGGCGTCAGGTCTCCCCGCGCGGCAGTGTAGGCGTAGAAGGGGTCGTTGATCAGCCTCTCGTACAACGTGGTGTACTCCTTGTTGCGAAGAACTGCTTTCTTGGCGATGTCCTTCATGATCCCGAGGCCCCCTCTTGCGCTTCGATCCCCCCGCGCATCCTTCCGCTGCGCCAATATCTGAGTCTCAACCTGGTCCATTGAAAGCGGCACGCCCAAGCTGTTGGCCATCTCCTGCAAACGGACGACCCTGGCTATTTTCTTGATATCGGGCATGCGCTCCATGAGATGGTCACACTGGAAACAGTTGATGGTGCCGACCGGGATGAGGATTTTGCAGCGCGGGCACTCAACGTCGGGGATGTGCATGACCTCCGCGAAGCGCCAGTTGGTCGACTTCTGCTTGTTGGGATCCAAGTCCTGCCACAAACCACTCCGGCCTCGGGTTTCCCCGGGCTGCTGCGTCACAGCTCGGGCCCAGTTTCTGTAAAGGCCATAGCGGGCGGTCTCGAATTCAAGCTCTTCTTTCGGGAGGTTCTCGTCGTAAACGTCCCTGACCTTCGTCACATTGCCAATGCGGTGGGGCCGCGTCATGTCGCGGCACGCTGTCGGGGCCCACTGTTTGTAATAGAGCTTGCACTCCTTCTCGGCCTTCGCCATGAACGATTCCAGCACTGGGGTCCCGACAACGCCCTTCTGGGTCTCTTCCCGATACTTCTTGATGCTGTCCTGGTAATTCCGTCTGACGCTGACGTACATCCGGTTGGACCAGAAAAAACTTTGCACATTCAGCGTCATAGGCGTAAATGAGGACCTTGTTCGTGATCCAATCCTCCGTCACCAGGGCTTCCCCGTCTCCGGGTGCGCACAGCCGACATCCCAATTGGATCAACATCTCCACATCGACGGCGATGTTGATGGGTCGGTCAGCACGCGCGCCCCCCGCCTTCCGGCCATGCCTGTCCCAAGGAGGCACTACCGTTAGGTAGGCGTGACCACGCGAGGTTTGCCGGTCTCCCATTCCGCCCGGAAAGATGCCCATGTAGATGATGTCAAAGAAATTCTGCATGTTGCACGTGTGGTAGGCGATTTTGGGCAGCGCCTTTCGGCGTGCGTCCGAGAAATCTTTGCAGAAGCCCGGTCGCACACCCTTCTTTGCGTGCTCAATGGTGTAATTGACATCCATTGCAATGGGATCTCCAGGAATATTGTCAAAGCCGCTGGCCTCGGTCACCCAATCGTTGTGGCCGGTGAACGCGCGAATGCGTAGTGGCATGAAACTGAGCCCGTTCCATTGCTGCCCGGCCGGCGCGTACTCGACATAGACCTCGAACCGATTCGATGTGGACGTGGCCTGAAGAAGAGTGTATTGGGTGCAGTTCCAGTCATATCGACGTTGGATCCATTTGGCGACGGCTGCGTAGTCGAAGGAGTTGTCCTTGAGATTGATCTCAGGGATGGATCGCGTCGCATGTTCGTGGGCATGTCCGCGAACCAAATACGACACCTTCTTGCTCAAGAACGTCCTTCTGCCATAGTTCTGGATCTGGGGAATCTTGATTCCTGAGCACTTGATCCACTCCCTCTTGGGTTCAGCAGCCTGGCCACGGGTCTCCCCGGGCTTTCCAGCAGCTTTGGAAACTGCCTTCGCCTTGGGGGTGATCTCCGGGCCACGGATCTCTCCGGGCTGAGTCTTGCTGGTCCCAGCCACGGACGCCTGATCGCTGGATGAGGCAGCCGGCATTGGCATTGCCTTTGATTTCACCTTTGGCGTCGCAGCACTGAGAGCTGCAGTTTTTGTTATGACTTTTCCGCTTGGAAGTGAGGATGAGCTTGATTTGGCCGTCCTCACCAATGTCATTCGGATCCACTGCGGCAACCTCAACGGCCTGGCCTTTCGGCCGGCTGACCTTAGGCTGAGAGCCAGGGGGCAGGTCGAAGCTGATCAGGTCCTCCTCATCCGAAGAAGAAGAAGACCAATCAATCACATCGTTGAGGCCGCTGACGGTCGCCGCGTGAATGTCGGGTTGCATCATCTGCAAGATCTTTGCTGCCTCCTTGACGGTGTCAAGGGGGTAGAGGGGGTTTGCCTCCTTTTCAGTCTCCAGGAAAACCTCGCGCTTCGGCTCTTGCGCGGCGATTTCGTTTATCGCCTCCAACTCCCTCTCACGGACCTCATTGTCGAAAGGGTCCTCAGGGTTCTTTGCAATTGCCGGACCGCCAGTTTCCTGGGGTGTAGCGCCAACGATCGGGATAGATGTGTCAATGTTCATGTATTCCCTTTCGAGGCGGTACCAATTCATCGCCATTTCGAAGCGGTTGATTTGGCCAATGCAGTACCCGAGCTTTGCGGCGGCCACATAATAATTGATGTAGTGCTTCCTGTTGCGCTCGGTGTCATCGGTGTGGATGCGGTCAGCCCGGGACGTGTTGGATATGAGAGTCTGGGGGTCGAGGACGGTGATTCCCGCGGAACCATGCAACAAACGAGCATGCCCGTCCATTTGAGTCCTATAAGATTCACTCAGTCCATACGTCTCATAGTCCCTCGGCACGATGAGGACGACCTGGACAACGTCTTCCCGAAAAGCAATATATGGCGTAGCCGGTCACGGACAGTCATCACCGCTCGGGCATTCCTTTCGATGATGTCCATCGCAGCCTTCCGCTTTGCCTCGGAATCAGTGGCCCAGCCCGCTAGGGCGGCGGGGTTGTCGATGTAACCGTTACGACCGACAACGTCATTCCCGGACCACGAGATCACGATGACGTACGGCCGGGGCTCAGGCCTTTCGGCGAGCTTTAGCATTGCCCGCTCAGCAGCGTCAAGAGATTCTGCCAGTCCTTTGCCCCATGTCATTTCGGACCAGACCTCGTGCTTGTGCCCAAAGAGTGTCCGCTTATTCTCCTTGATGATGGTGCCAACATCTGTCTTTGCTCCATCTTTGACCAACGCATTGAAGGAGTCGCCGAAAAACAGATAGTTGACCGCGGGTTTCCCCGGGCAGAAGAGGATATCGAAAGCCTCAGCCGGAGCCTCTTTGAGAATTCCCGCAGTACCTGTCAACGATGACATGGCATTCTTGGCGAGAGCCAGCGCATCGGTACGTTCACTCATCTTGGCAAGGTCGACACCGGAGTTCACGTCCTTGACGATGAATGATTGAGTTGCCGCATCACGGAACATGTCTGACCAAGCCTCTCGGTTGGCGACGCGCAGCTCGTCGGGGATGACCTCAGCCTTCACCTTCCCATCGTGCAGGATATAGTCCGAGCCGTAGTCAACTCGAGCGAGCGGCACATCTTTGTAGTTCCTCTCGGAGAATGCCGAGCGTACCGTCTTCAAGGCCTTCTCCACTGGCAGTGCTTCAGCCATGGTCGCAACTAGTATCCGTGTTTGGACAACCTTTTCTTGAACCGACACTGCATAAGCAAAAGCCTTGTGAATCAAGTCAGTCATGACGTAAGTGTAGGATTCAGTATTTTTGAGATTCCGTCCCCTACCTTCAGCATGTTGGACAGCGCAAGAACATACTCTTCCATCAAGGTAATTGTGGAGGCAATGCATGTTGGTCTTCACGGTCCATGGTTTCTTCATTGGAATCCCATCGGTAGTTTTGACACCAACAG